AAAAAAAAAAACAAACAAAAAACACTTTTACCGTCTAAATCTATTGAAATAAAAAAATAAAATTTCACTTTTTGAAAATGAATTAAAAAATTACACAATAATGACATACGTATTTTTGCAAGCATAAACAGATACTACCAGCAGTCACATGTATATAACAGTCATGAGCAGAAGAACTGGAATTATAAAGAAATAGATCAGAGCCTCGTGAGACCCGAGGCCCTGGCAGGTCCCGAGAGGGCGGGGCCCCGGCTCTGCCAGGCATCAGGGGCGGGACCCTGAGGGAGACTGAGGCCTCCCACCACCAATCCCATTCCACCCTTGCTGTCATCCCTGGGAAGCCCCGGGTATGGGGCCCGGAGGTGACGTCCACCGACTTCCGCCTGGGGGGCCTGACAGAGGCGAGGCTGTTGGTCTGAGGGGCGGACTTCACGTCGGCGGAGAGGAGAGGGCCAAGGCTGTGTTAGGATCAAGGAGATGCTGAGGGAGAATGGTGGGCCGCATAGAATCGCCCCTGCCCCTGCTGTGACCCCGGGAGGCCCCAGAACAAATTTCACCTTGAGACACCTCCCGAATTCAGCCTCGGGAATCTGAGGGGTGAGGACGCTGGTCAACAGGGGATGGGGGCCCAGGCCCCGCCGGGGTCAAGGGGAAGACACAGAGGGAAGACAGTGTGTACCTTACTCTCCAGTACACAGGGAGACCTGGACCCTGGGCAGGGTGGCCAGATGTGGTGCGTCGTGGCTTCTGTCTTCGGGGTCGCAGGGAGGGGAGGGCTTTGGTCCGAGGGGAGTTGTGACGTCAGCAGAGGGCGGAGTCTAGGGTCGGCGTGAATCACGGAAGAAAGTTGGTGAGATTAAAGGCATGAGGTACCTCCGCACTCCCAGAAGGGGGCTCGCACAGAGTCTGGCATCCCTGTTTTCCGCCCTGGAGGCCAGGGCAGGGGTGGCATGTGGCGTTGCTCTTTTCTGCCACGTGGCTGGGGTGGGGGGTCTCAAGGAGGTGAGCCAGCCAGCAGAGAGGAGGAGTCCCAGGACATGCCAGGCCCGAGGTGTGCACCTGGGTGAGGACTGAAGGTACTCCCAGCCCAGATAATAGGGACCCGCAAACTCCAGCTGTCCTGGACCCGATCGGGGGTGACCCTAAGTGGCCAGTACACTTCTGCCAGGTCAGGAAGTTGGGGAATCCTCAGGAAGATGAGGCCTTGGTCTAAACGAACCCTAGTGTCTCCGTTAACCCAGGGCCTTCCAAAGAGCAGGTGCTCAATGAATACTTGGGGAACAAATGTGCCAGGGAGCAGGGGCTCTTATTTCTTTATTTTTTTCTTTTATTTATATAAATTTTTAAACTTCAAAATATTATATATGTAGATTAAAATTTCCACTACATTCTCAAATAATCCAATTCACATACACATATATATTTTAGTTGTATAGAAAAACAGATAAAAGGGGTAAGAAGCCAAGAAATAACTGTCTTTAAATTTTATTTCTCTATTTCATAACTCCATATATTTAAATGCAATGTTCTTTCACATTGCCAAGAAAATCCTTATTCCAATGAAATTCCAATTCCACCTTGTTCCAAGCAGAAAAATGTAATGGAAGGTTTCTCCATTTGTTTTACAAAATAACAGACTCTTTACTTTTGATAAGCAAAATGACATGTGTGGTAAATATCATTCACCAACTTAGATGCTGAAGTTAATTAAATCTTCTATGGAACAAAACAAACTTTGTAAAATTCCAAAAGGAAAACAAAGATCAATTTCTAAGTCACCCAAATGTAACGGGAGCACAAAATGTTATGCACTGGTGGTTTCCCCAACCTTCTTGGTCCCTCCACTACCTTAAAGAACTAACCGATCTCTTCAAACACAGAGTAAAGAACAACTAATTTCTCATGGGGCAGGAGAAGCTGCTTGAAGGGGACCTGGATGCGAACTGGCCCTGCCTCCCTCATCAGCCCTGGCTGCAACTCCTGCTCACATCCCTTCTTCCTCATCTCTCAAAGCCTCTTCATACAGGAGTGGGAAGGATCTTGGATCACACCCATTGACCTTGGCCACATACTCCAGGACTTTCAACTTGCTCGTTTCAGCATGGGCCCTGGGACCCCACAGGAACTCATAACATGCAGGATCACTGTTGGCCACCTGCCGGTACTCCAGGTACCCTTCCCGCACCCAATCCTGGGTGACGAGCTTCCGGGGTTCCCCGTACATTACATGCTCCATCCCAGCATGCACCCCCATCACACCCAGCCCCTCCCAGATGACCTCCTCTGGGGCACAATCTCCCTCCAAGAAGATCAAGCCAAGGACAATGATCAGGAGGCCGACCTTGGGAAAGCGCTGGTCATCATTCAGTTCCTCATAGTAGGTAAGGCCCACGGAGGTGACGAGGATGTAGGACTGGCCTGCGGGGTCAACTTCCTTCACGTCGACTCCAAAGACCAGCTGCATGCAGTCGGAAGCTTCTCGGAAGATCTCAGCGAAGTGATCTTGGTAATCCTTGATGACAATATCCAGCATTTCTTCCTTGGTGATCAGCTCCTTGATTCGATACTTGAGGAGCAGGAAATGAATCAAATCAGATATCTTCTCTTCTAGTGCCTCTCGTTGCACGGACGCCGGGTCCTGGGAGCTGCTTGGCCCCTCCTCTTCTTGGTTGCTGGAGCCTTGATTGGAAGCCAGGCCAGTGGGGGAGGAGGAGGCTCCCTGAGGACTTCCAGGAGGACTCGGTGTGGCGGCAGCTGGCACTTCCTCCAGGGTGCCCGGGGTCACAGTAGAGGAGGAGGCAGCCGCCCCCTCCTCCTCAGCCCCGGGAGACTGTGCACCCACCAGGCGCTGTGCCTCTCTTTGGGCCCGAAGGCCTCCCTGAACCCTGCGGTGCTGACTCCTGTGATGGTGGCGGTGGCGGCGAGGCATGATGGCTCTGGGGGGGAAGCAAGCAGGAATGTGGGCAGGAGCTGGGTAATGGGGACCCATAGGCCTGGGGAGAAAGGGACTGTGTAAGTGGCATCAGTGAGAACCACAGCCTGGAGGATCTAACAAAGATCAACCTGCAGGCTTTCTCCTTAGGTGATGCTCTGGGGCCTCCCAGGGCCCCTGTCCTCCTGGAGGGCCTGTCCCCCTAGCACCTGAAGAAGGAAGCAGCAGGCCAGCAGAGGGCAAGGCTCTAGGGCCGACAGTGGGTGGGTGGGGCCGGGCGCTGTGGGGTTCTCTCTGCCTTTGGGTGGATGGTCTCTACTGTGCTCACTAAAGCTCCTCAGCTGTCAACTAGAGGGCGCTAGACCAGACCCCTCTGCTATCCCGAGAAAATCTCAGAATAAAAGCTCACA